CCAGCACCTCATATGTCCCTATTTGTTTACCAGGCTGTGTCCCACATTGGCCCCGGGGGCCAGGCAAGGGCAGGACCACATCTGATTGTCTCTCTACCCCCCTCCGCCCCCCAGGGCCTGGCACTCAGCCAGCATTCAGCGAGTGTTTGCTGAAAGAATCAGGTTTTAATTGTCCCCTGTGAATGGGTTGAGAGCAGGTGTTCCTGAGTGGAAGTGCAGGTGACTTGAGGGAAGGGGCTATGGCAGGGTCTGGGACTCTACCTGAAAATGCTCTAAAACGCACGTGGAGGGCAGGAGGGGGGGTGCAGGTGGGGGTGCAGTCGTTATGCACATGTGCAGTGTGCACGAACAGGCTACGTGTTCACACGGGCGCTCCTACAGCGGGTGCGTGTAGGCTCGGTGGCTTTCGTCAGCTTTTCCAAGGGCTGCGACCCAACAAGTTTAGGGACCACCAGAATAGACTCTGCAAGCAATGGCCAGGAGTCGACTGGCCTTTCTGAAATGTCAAGGTTAGTGCCATTTGCATTTGCTGCCCAGGAAGTGAAGGAGGGACACACTAGACCCACGAGACCTCCCGGAAGTGATCACTCCCAATGGGTCAGTCCTCGATGGTCTCACCTCTGGAGGTGACGGGACTCCCAGTACCCGTCCAGCTCTCCCAGTGTGTGTTTTACTCATTGAGAGAATTCATTTCACCGAATCCACAAGTACACACAGAGGAACTAAGCTTCTAATCTGTCCACGGACAATGCGTACAGCTCTCTCCCCTCCACGATGAAGTTAGTAGCAGTGGTCAGGGCTCCCACAGCTTGGTCCCCATTCTTTGTTACTTTTTTCAACTGAGGGAGACAGCGACGTACAGGAAAAGTCTACTTTGCATGTCTCTAAAGCAAATTTGAAAACCAAGATAAATGAAGTGGGTGATTTCTTAGAAAGATACAGTGTACCAAAAGGCGCTCCAGTAGACACAAAGTACAAGCTAATTCCCACACACACCACAGAGAACGCAATCCTAGAACAACCTCATAAAAAGGCACCAGGCCCAGATGGCTTCCCGGGGGAATTCTATCACCACTTTAGAAATGAGACAGTCCCGGGGCGCCTGGGTGGCTTAGTCGGTTAAGCGTCCGACTTTCACTTAGGTCATGATCTCGCGGTTCGTGGGCTCGAGCCCCGCGTCAGGCTCTGTGCTGACTGCCAGCTCAGAGCCTGGAGCCTGTTTCAGTCTGTGACTCCCTCTCTCTCTGACCCTCCCCTGCTCACGCTGTCTCTCTTTCTCCTAGAAATAAATTTAAAAAATATATAAAAAAAAAAAAGAAATGAGACAGTCCCAACAATACACACATTGTTCCTGGGCATAGAAAAGTAAAGAAATCCAAACCAAACAACACACCAAAAAGGACACTACAGACAAGTCCCACTCGTGAATACCGCTGACAGGAATCTTAGATTATATCAGACACTCAGCCCCACCACTATAAGAAAATAGTAGTACACAGTGACTAAGTGGGGTTTAAGCCAGTAATTTTTCAATATTAAGAAATCTAATATAAGCGTAAGAGATCTAAGAAGAATAAAACCCTATTCTTCCACAGATCCTAAAAAGTCTAGGACATAATTCAACTCTCATTCCTCATCAAAACTCTCAAGAAAATCGTAATGGGTGGAAACTTTCTTAACATATTAAAACACATACACTTCGATCCTGAAGATGACACTTGAGTTATTCGGATAAGGTCAGAAATAAGCCAAGGGTGCCTACCATTTCTACTACTGTGTAGCAGGCTGCTGGAGGTATTAGTCAATGCAATTGGGCAAAAGAAACCCAGAGAAGCACAATTAGCTCAATGAGGGGAAGGGCTGGGTCTTATTCCCTAGTCTATATCCCCAGGATCTAACACAACAGGTGCTCAATAGTTAGCTGGATGAGTAAATGAATAATGGGCTCACATTAACTGAGGCCAAGGGTGTAATAAAATGCTCATAACAAATCCTACCCTGTATTGATTCAAATAGGTCAAGCCATTCAAGGCCAATAAGCCTGTGAGAGTAGTATTATTTCAGCCATTTGATAGATAAGCAAACAAGGTCCAGAGAGGTTAAATGACTCATCCAGGATCACCCTGAGGGTAAATGTTTTAAACTCCAGTCTTGCCCAAGTGCCAGGCCCCTTACAAACAAACGGCTTTACATGGCTCTCATCAGACAAGAGAAGGGCGGACCCTCACACAGTAGTTCAGAATGCTGGCTCTGGAGGAAGCCAGCCAGGTTCAGCATTCAGCTCTGCCATTTACCAGCTCTGCTCTCTTGGGAAGATTCCTCCACCTTTCTGTGCCTCAGTGGCTCCTCTGTAAAAGGAGGGGGACCACAGTGCCCACCTGCTAGGGTTGGCGGGTTATTACAGGAGCTCAAAGGCATCTGCTACAATGTTAGAGTTCCTTAAAACGAGCAGCCAGCTTTCCCAAGATTTGTAAGTAGCGTCATCAAGGTCTGAAAAATGCCTGTCCCATTAGCGGGCCCTTTCCTTCCTGGACTCTCGCCAAGCTCATGCACAGAGTTTAGGGTAGCTCTCATGTGCATCGCCAGTATATTGTCACTGGGGACAAAGCCCAACTGCAAGCTAAAGGCTGGTGTCAGCCCTTGGAGAGTTCCATCATTCAGGAGCAGAGAGGTGACCCCAGGGACATCCCGGGAAGCCAGAGCCAGACCCACATCTGGAAGAGCTCGCTTAGCCTCTCAAGGCTCACACCCGCTCTTCCCTTCCTCAGCCGTGATGCTTCCGTGCTGCCTACTTCCCAGCAAGGACTCATTCCTTACAGATTCCAGAGCGAACTCCCCACTCCGAACGGGGGAGGGGAGGGGCGCACATAGGAAATTCTTTCCAAAGAGCACAGTGTAGAAAGGAGTAGCTTTACGAGGGAGAAACCTGACAAGCACTACTATGGCTAAGTTGATCAAGGTCGATTATCAACAGTGATCAATCAGGTCGGTAATAGGTTTCCTTGATGTGATGTGATGGAAACAGTCACTTCACCTGTGCGGATTTCCTCTCTAAAACCCGAGGCCCCGGTCTTTCCAGGAGAGAAACATCAGAAAGACCCTAACTCGGGCACAGCCTACGGTATACCTAACTGGTGTTCCTCAAAACTATCAAGCTCATTAAAAAACAAAACAAAACAGAAAACAAAAAAACAAGGACCACCTGAATCTGAATAAAGTATGGACTTCAGTTCATCAAAATGCATCAATATTGGATCATGAATGATAACAAATATACCCATACTAATGTAAGAGGTTAAGAGGTTAATAAAATGGGGACCCCAGTGCCCGGTACTGTCTTTATAACTTTTCTGTTAATCTAACACTGTTACCAAATAAATAAAGTTTGTTGGGTTTTTTTTTTTTTTTTAATGATTCCAGGGCTTTCACTGTGGCCATTTAGACACCCATCTGGCGGCCACCAAGCACCACTTGCCAAGAAAAACTATAAAAAGTACCTCCCATCAGATTTGGCTTGGAAACTATTTCCCCGGAAATCTCCCCCATGCAAAAAAAAAAAAAAAAAAAAAAGAGTTAGCTGATTGTGAACCTGGGAGGGGTGTGAGTATTAGTTCCCTGCAAAACATGACTTTAATCTTACCAAACAAAGACCACGGATGTTAAAGCGACCTTAAAGGGATCGCTTGCAGATTCTTAATTGTATCTTTTCAAAGCAAAGGATGGCCTCCAGATTGCAACTCCGAGAAGTCTGGTCTCTTTTGCTGGCTAATTATTTCCATCTCCAGCCAAAATACAGAATGATTACCCATTACCATCTTTGCTTGGGATCCAAGTCAAAGCAAAAGCCCCTCGCCTAAGTGGCCGGTGAAGACAGGGAGGGAAGGAAAGTGAACACTTCCCGGTCACCTGCCTAACGCAGCACCTCTGGGAAACACCAAGCCCCCAAATCTCTGTGAAAAATCCTCCTACACACAGCCCCTTCCTGCACTCCGGATGCGGCCAAGCCCCAGTGCATCTGGAAATTACCAACAGGCCTGCCCCGGAGGCTTCGACAAGCCCCGGGCTGGGCTGGGCTGTCAAAATCAGGAAGCCCGGTTGGGGTTTTTTTCTGTTTTTTCCAAGACAACCTGCTAACCAGAAAAATACAGTGAGGCTGAGCATGCGATCTCCTCCTCCTCCTCCTGACAAATGCTCTTGTTAACCATGTGAAGCGATGGCCCGGCCTGGGGAAGTCCCCGCCGCACAGGGCACTTCAACACACAGACTGACAGCTAGTTTAGACAGGAGTAGGCTTCCTCCTGAATCGAATCCACAGGCCAGCCTTCCCCCAAACCCCGCATCCCTCCATTAGGACCGTGGGGGCAAGGGATCACTGTTTAACAAAGCTCAAACTAATCCACTGAGGGGAACCCGCAAAGGCTGGCAGCAGACACCAAGGAGGAAACGAGGCGGGGGGGCGGGGGGGGTGGGCTTCCGAGCAGTGAAGTCACACCACCCTCCAGCATCAGATGCAGACAACCTCTTCATCAGTGTCAGGGCAAAGTCCCCAACAAACTCCCAGGGGCTGTTCGGAGGAGAATCCTGGCAAGCCCTCTCTGTGCCCGGGGTTTCTTGCCGGCTAACTCCACTCTCTGGCTTCCTCACAGCCTCCAACCAGGCAGATCACTTCCTCTCCCCTCCGACGACGACCCTGTAAGCTGGGGGCCAGCTGAGCCCCCTGCCACCTTTAGCTTGGCTACCGGCGACCCCAGGGAGGAGTCACGAGTGACTGCAGCCTGACGCCCTACTGGGCAAGAGTGAGCCTACCGCCCCCTAAGGGTGGCAGCAGTCTCGGTTGCCTCGTGCCCTCCCTCTCACCTGCGGAGACGCACCCCTCCCTCGCCCCCCCCCCCCCCCCCGGGAACTGTGACATCGGGAGCACACAGGGGTCCTGTGTCCACTCCGCAGGCCCAAGCCCCCGCCCGGGCTCAGGGGGCCAGGCCGGGGGAGCCTCCACCGACCTTCGATAGGATTCAAATAGTCATAGTCGAAGAGGATGGAGAAGTCGAACTCGTCTTGGGGGCTGCCCGCGGGCTCCCGGCCTGGGGCGTCCCCGCCGTCGGGGTCGGGCTGCTGCTCCGGGGGGCCGTCCATGGCGCGCACAGCGGCGGGAGGGTGGCGGGGCCGGAGGGCGGGGGGCGGACGCGCGCGGCCTCGGCCTCCTCCTGGGCCCCTCGCCGGGGCTGCGGGGGCCGGAAGCGGGCCGGAGAGGCGGCGGGGTGGCTGTCCTCGCGGGGACGCACGCGGGCCCGGGGATGGCGCGCCGGCGCAGCGGCTCCTGGACGCGCCCGGGGAGCAGAGCGGCGGCGGCGGCGGCGCGAGCTTCCTGCTCCGGGAGGCACCTGTTGCGGCCCCGCGGAGGGGGAGGCGGGGACAGGGCGGCCGGGCCGGCGGGGGGCGGGGCCGCCACCGGGGCCTCGGGGGAGGGCGGAGGGCGGGGGCGGCGGGCTGCCAGGCGCCGGGGAGGAAGGCGACCGCCTGCCTGCCCGCTGCGGCCGCACGGCCCGGGGCCACGCCGGGGGCGGGCGGGGAGGGGGGGCACCGCCTGCCGCCCTCCCCGCGGCCCGGCCAGGCGGTGCGCTCTGCGGGACCCGGGACCGACCCGGAAAGCCCGCCGCTGCCCCTTGCAGGGCTGTCGCCCAGCTGATCGCAATCCGTTCCCTCCTGTCTCCTCTAGGCCGGGGAACCAATCTCCTCCACCGCAGCCCGCGTCTGCAGGTGCCTCTGGGTGCCCACAGCTGTGGCGATACTGGCCTACGGTTCAGTCACCTGCACACCCCTGAACGCAGCTCCCCAGGACCTGAGAAAGAACCCGGGATACTCTGAGAGCACAAGCCTCACTCTTACATCCGTACCTCTATCATGCGCCTGGTGTCAGGGACGCAGGGTGAACCAGACACTGACCACCTGCGAAGTTCAAGGTGGGGGAAGGCAGGCATGAAGGTGATAAACGAGAGAACAAAGATCATCATGAATAGTGTTGGAGGGAATCACCAGGTGTCTGGGGTAAAGGCTGGCTGTTGAGGAGCCTTTATTCTCTTGGGCGTTCAGGTAGGGCCTCTCTGGGAGGGTGACATTGGATGAACCTAACTGATCTGGGTGAAGAGGGGTTTGGGCAGCGGGAGCCCAAGGAATGAATGCTAAAGCGAGAAGGGGCTGGTGTGTTGCCAGGAAAAGAAGGGCGGTGTATTTGGAGAGGCGGGTGGGTAACAAGTACATCTGGGCGCTTGTTATAAACACAGGTCCCCGGGCCTCTCCCTGGAGCTTCTGGTCCTGTGAGTCTGGAGTAGAGAGGCTCAGGAGTGTATATTTTTATTATTTTTTAATGCTTATTTATTTTTGAGAGAGACAGAGCACAAGTGGAGAAGGAGCAAAGGGAAGGAGAGACACAGAATCTGAAGCAGGCTCTGGGCTCCCAGCTGTCAGCACAGAGCCCAACACGGGGCTCAAACTCGTGAACCATGAGATCTTGACCTGAGCCGATGTCGGACGCTTAACCGACTGAGCCACCCAGGAATGTGTATTTTTAAATAAGCACCGAACATGAATGTTATGAACAGGTACGTTTGGGGAACACTACGTAGGAATCCAGTACCACCCCCATCCCCCATAAAACACTTCCAGGGGTCTCGGACCAAGTTAGGTGATGTCAGAAAATAGACTCGTGGAGGCAGAAAGGGAGATCAGAACAGTGGTCTTCAACCCTTACAGCACGTTAGAATCACCTGGGACACTTGTTACATGTGCCCTGGCTTCCCTCCAGCCCCCACGGAACCAGAATATCCAAAGTTCTTTTTTTTTCCTCAGTGACCTCAGATGAATCCAAATTGCACCCAGTGTTGAGAATCTCTGGATCAGAAGATTAGATGGGAGAGGTTCAAGGATTCCCAGAGAGCCACAACTTGACCTCACATGGGGAATGACTCAAATCCTTCCCTGTGTGCCAGAAAGAACTGAGAATGTGCATCCTTCACATTCTCACCGCTCTGCTCCGTGAAGGCATTTGTGCAAAGCTAGCGATTGCCATTCATTCCACAAAGATTTCCTGAGTACCTGCCAGGTACCTGACCCGGCCACAGATCTCGGGAATGCAGCCATCAACAGGACAGCATCCCGTCATCATGCGTGCATCCTGGAAGCAAAGAGAGACAGCAATGACGAGCGGTTTCCAAATTGCACCTAGACCTGTGGTTCTTAACCCAAGCTGTGCATCAGAATCACCCAGAGAGCTGTTGACAAATTCAATGGCTGGGCCCCACCGGAGACCAGTGATAATCAGAATGTCTGAACGCGGGGCCTGGGCATCAGGGTTTTGTAAGAGCTCCCCAGATGCGCCCAGTGTGTGGCCAGGGATGAGAAGCACTGGTTTAGACTCTCACTGCAGGGACCCGAGCCTGGCTTAGCACTGGCCAACTTCCAGGGTTCCGGAAACCAGAGTTTCTGGCTCTCAGAGCAGTAATGGTCCTCTTCATTGCTCCCTAATCCAACAAACATTTTAGGGCATCTGATAAATGTAGGTGGAGGAGGGGAGAGGGATGACCCAGACTGGGACACTTAGAGCCAGGAATCTAGAAGGAGATGGGTGCTCTATGTGGTCAGGGATAAACAAAGGAACCAGCCTGCCCTTACGCTGTAGGGAGAAAGAAGTGCTGCTGTCACCTTCATGTGTCCTTTCTCACCCCCCACCCATAATGATTAAATGCCTCTCATCAAGTGGACATCTGTTGATTTTGCCTGCCTGGAATCATTGCCCGTTTGACAACAGCACCCAGGGCGCTCCTTCGGGAAACTACTCTTGACACAATTTTGGCAAAACTGTCAACCCAGTTGTCCTATCCTCCCCTGGGGGGGGGGGGGGATGAATGACCCACGCCTGACCAGAGAATTTTGTCTCCTTTAGCCTATGAGACCTACTGAGGCAGAGGTCATGACTGCCCCATTCATACATGGCTTTCTGTCCAGTGGATGTGTGGATGGATAGATGGATGAATGGAAGAGTGGGTGTTTGGATGGATGCATGGATGCATGGATGGATGCAGGATGCATGGATGCGTGGAAGAGTGCGTGTTTGGATGGATGGATGCATGCATGCGTGCATGCATGGATGCCTAGATGGATGCATGGATGCATGGAAGAGTGGGTGTTTGGATGGATGCATGGATGGATGCAGGATGCATGCATGCATGGATGCCTAGATGGATGCATGGAAGAGTGGGTTTTTGGATGGATTCATGGATGCTCGGATGGATGGAAGAGTGGATGTTTGGATGGATTAATCAGTACATGCCTAGATCAATTGATCAGTCGATGGAAGAGTAGATGTTTGGATGATGGTAGATGGATCAATCAATAGCTCAATCGAAAAGTGGATGTTGGGAGGAGGGATGGAAGGGAAAAAGAGAGTTTAACTCTCCTGTGTGTATAAGTTCCTTAGATTTTTTTTAAGGCTCCCCCTCGCTGAGGGTTACTCTGGCCACTCGGTTTTAGAGCAAGAACCTCAATCGTTCCCCAAACAACACCCTCTCGAGATACCTGGCAAGGTGAGGCAATGACGGGGAGAGCACCTAACGACTGACAAGTGCCACCAACACTTCAGCTTTAGGAAGGGTGGCTCAGGACATTCTAAGACTCTAGCTGCCTCAGTTGTTCCTCTGAGCAGAGGGTATATTTTAAAAGCTTCTAAGGTTTGGATTCTGCACCCACACAATCTGAATTCTTCCAAGGGAAGAGGTTCAGACTAGGCCCTGCCCCCAGTCTCTGCCGGAGGTGAGAGGCGTTCTTCTCCAAGGGCCACCTGGAAGCGTGGAGGGGTGGGTTGAGGGGAAAGACATAGTTTCAATTCCAAAATAATTAATTTGTGCTCTTAGGAGCAAGGACTAGGAGCAGAATGCATGACCTTTATGCATTCAGTGGCCATCCCAGGGGGGCCGGGGTGGGGCGGGGGGAGGCGCAGGGCAGAGGCCTTGACAGAGCAGCTCTGGCAACCTTCGCTCTGCCCTGCGGCTGACTCCTTGCAGAAGCCCTATAGCCCCTTCGGTTTTCTCCAGCCTTTCCCACACAAGGGCAAGGGGAAGTCAGGAAGCCCCCTAGGGCTTGAAACTTCTAGTCACACACTGTACCATTCTGGCCCTGGTCCAGGAATTCAGCTCAATTCAACAAGCGTTGACCCTAACATATACCTGCACGCTGAGGTAAGTGCCATGAAGGAGAAGCTGCTACAGGGCATGTATCAAGGAAGCCTGATGTAGACAGGGGATCAGTGAAGGCTTCCCTAGGAGGTGATGTTCCAGCAGAGATCAGAAAGCCAGCGAGGGAAGAGTGAGGGGCAGAACTAACAGCCAGCTGGCGAAGCATGTGTAAAGGTCCTGAGGCAGGAGGAAGTATGAAGTGTTGGCGAGACTGAAGGAAGACTGGAGTGGCAGGTGCTCAGGGTCCTGAAGGAAGGTGTAAGGTAAGGCTAGGGGGTAAGTGGGGGCCCTGGGCCATGTGAAGAATTCTAGACATAAGAGCAATGGGGGACAGAGGAAGAGGATCAGGTGGTGTGTGACAAGATCAAATTCAAGTTTTTTTTAAAAACTTTTTTTAATGTTTTATTTATTTCTGAGAGAGAGAGAGAGAGAGAGACAGCGTGAGCAGGGGAGGGTCAGAGAGAGAGGGAGACACAGAATCCGAAACAGGCTCCAGGCTCTGAGCTGTCAGCACGGACGCTTAACCGACTGAACCACCCAGGCGCCCCTCAAATTCAAGTTTTTAAACAATTGCTTGGGGGGGCGCCTGGGCAGCTCAGTCAGTTAAGTGTCTGACTTCGGCTCAGGTCATGATCTCGCGGTTGGTGGGTTCGAGCCCCGCATCAGGCTTGCTGCCGTCAGCACAGAGCTGGCTTTAGATCCTCTGTCCCATCTCTCTCTGCCTCTCCTCTGCTCATGCTCTCTTCCTCAAAAATAAATTAACATTTGGGGCGCCTGGGCAGCTCAGTCGGCTAAGCATCGACCTTGGCTCAGGTCATGATCTCACGGCTCATGGGTTCAAGCCCCACGTCAGGCTCTGTGCTGACAGCTCGGAGCCTGGAGCCTGCTTTTCAGTCTGTGACTCCC